CTCTGGTGGGACTCGAACCCACAACCTTTGAATAACATCTCTGATGTATGACTAGAAGTCCAATGCGCTATCCATTATGCCACAGAGCCCGTGCTGGAGCCACTTTTTGCAAAATAATAACAAAAATGCTCAAGGACATTGTATTTGCTGAAAATTCGTGCCGTCACGGTTTTAAACACTGCAAAAGGTTGACTCTGGTGGGACTCGAACCCACAACCTTTGAATAACATCTCTAATGAACCCACAACCTTTGAATAACATCTCTGATGTATGACTAGAAGTCCAATGCGCTATCCATTGCGCCACAGAGCCGGCGCTGGAGCCACTTTTTGCAAAATAATAACAAAAATGCTCAAGGACCTTGTATTTGCTGAAAATTCGTGCCGTCACGGTTTTAAACACTGCAAAAGGTTGACTCTGGTGGGACTGATGAACCCACAACCTTTGAATAACATCTCTGATGTATGACTAGAAGTCCAATGCGCTATCCATTGCGCCACAGAGCCAGCGCTGGAGCCTCTTTTTGCAAAATAATAACAAAAATGCTCAAGGACCTTGTATTTGCTGAAAATTCGTGCCGTCACGGTTTTAAACACTGCAAAAGGTTGACTCTGGTGGGACTCGAACCCACAACCTTTGAATAACATCTCTAATGAACCCACAACCTTTGAATAACATCTCTGATATATGACCAGAAGTGCAACGCGCTATCCATTGCGCCGCTGAAATTTTGCGCCATCATGGTTTTAAACACTGCAAATCCAATCTTTAATTGGCACAAACCTTTCGCTATGTAGCCAAGCTCGCTACTGTGAGTTTGATTGTGAGGACTGTCCAGCATTCCACACTTAACTTTTTGACCATTATGGCATTTGCCATACTTACTAAGCACAAGAGCAAATGCTCAAGGACCTTGTATTTGCTGAAAATTCGTGCCGTCACGGTTTTAAACACTGCAAAAGGTTGACTCTGGTGGGACTTGAACCCACAACCTTTGAATAACATCTCTGATGAACCCACAACCTTTGAATAACATCTCTGATGTATGACTAGAAGTCCAATGCGCTATCCATTGCGCCACAGAGCCTGCGCTGGAGCCTCTTTTTGCAAAATAATAACAAAAATGCTCAAGGACCTTGTATTTGCTGAAAATTCGTGCCGTCACGGTTTTAAACACTGCAAAAGGTTGACTCTGGTGGGACTCAAACCCACAACCTTTGAATAACATCTCTGATGAACCCACAACCTTTGAATAACATCTCTGATGTATGACTAGAAGTCCAATGCGCTATCCATTGCGCCACAGAGCCGGCGCTGGAGCCACTTTTTGCAAAATAATAACAAAAATGCTCAAGGACCTTGTATTTGCTGAAAATTCGTGCCGTCACGGTTTTAAACACTGCAAAAGGTTGACTCTGGTGGGACTCGAACCCACAACCTTTGAATAACATCTCTAATGAACCCACAACCTTTGATTAACATCTCTGATATATGACTAGAAGTCCAACGCGCTATCCATTGCACCGCTGAAGTTTTGCGCCATCATGGTTTTAAACACTGCAAATCCAATCTTTAATTGGCACAAACCTTTCGCTATGTAGCCAAGCTCGCTACTGTGAGTTTGATTGTGAGGACTGTCCAGCATTCCACACTTAACTTTTTGACCATTATGGCATTTGCCATACTTACTAAGCACAAGAGCAAATGCTCAAGGACCTTGTATTTGCTGAAAATTCGTGCCGTCACGGTTTTAAACACTGCAAAAGGTTGACTCTGGTGGGACTCGAACCCACAACCTTTGAATAACATCTCTGATGTATGACTAGAAGTCCAATGCGCTATCCACTGCACCACAGAGCCAGCGCTGGAGCCTCTTTTTGCAAAATGATAACAAAAATGCTCAAGGACCTTGTATTTGCTGAAAATTCATGCCGTCACAGAGCCTGCTCTGCGGCCTCTTTTTGCAAAATAATTACAAAAATGCTCAAGGAGCTTGTATTTGCTGAAAATTCGTGCCGTCACGGTTTTAAACACTGCAAAAGGTCGACTCTGGTGGGACTCGAACCCACAACCTTTGAATAACGTCTCTAATGAACCCACAACCTTTGAATAACATCTCTGATGTATGACTAGAAGTCCAATGCGCTATCCATTGCGCCACAGAGCCGGCGCTGGAGCCACTTTTTGCAAAATAATAACAAAATGCTCAAGGACCTTGTATTTGCTGAAAATTCGTGCCGTCACGGTTTTAAACACTGCAAAAGGTTGACTCTGGTGGGACTGATGAACCCACAACCTTTGAATAACATCTCTGATGTATGACTAGAAGTCCAGTGCGCTATCCATTGCGCCACAGAGCCGGTGCTGGAGCCACTTTTTGCAAAATAATAACAAAAATGCTCAAGGACCTTATATTTGCTGAAAATTCGTGCCGTCACGGTTTTAAACACTGCAAAAGGTTGACTCTGGTGGGACTGATGAACCCACAACCTTTGAATAACATCTCTGATGTATGACTAGAAGTCCAATGCGCTATCCATTGCGCCACAGAGCCAGCGCTGGAGCCTCTTTTTGCAAAATAATAACAAAAATGCTCAAGGACCTTGTATTTGCTGAAAATTCGTGCCGTCACGGTTTTAAACACTGCAAAAGGTTGACTCTGGTGGGACTCGAACCCACAACCTTTGAATAACATCTCTGATATATGACTAGAAGTGCAACGCGCTATCCATTGCGCCGCTGAAATTTTGCGCCATTATGGTTTTAAACACTGCAAATCCAATCTTTAATTGGCACAAACCTTTCGCTATGTAGCCAAGCTCGCTACTGTGAGTTTGATTGTGAGGACTGTCCAGCATTCCACACTTAACTTTTTGACCATTATGGCATTTGCCATACTTACTAAGCACAAGAGCAAATGCTCAAGGACCTTGTATTTGCTGAAAATTCGTGCCGTCACGGTTTTAAACTCTGCAAAAGGTTGACTCTGGTGGGACTCGAACCCACAACCTTTGAATAACATCTCTAATGAACCCACAACCTTTGATTAACATCTCTGATATATGACTAGAAGTCCAACGCGCTATCCATTGCGCCGCTGAAGTTTTGCGCCATCATGGTTTTAAACACTGCAAATCCAATCTTTAATTGGCACAAACCTTTCGCTATGTAGCCAAGCTCGCTACTGTGAGTTTGATTGTGAGGACTGTCCAGCATTCCACACTTAACTTTTTGACCATTATGGCATTTGCCATACTTACTAAGCACAAGAGCAAATGCTCAAGGACCTTGTATTTGCTTAAAATTCATGCCGTCACAGAGCCTGCTCTGCGGCCTCTTTTTGCAAAATAATTACAAAAATGCTCAAGGAGCTTGTATTTGCTGAAAATTCGTGCCGTCACGGTTTTAAACACTGCAAAAGGTCAACTCTGGTGGGACTCGAACCCACAACCTTTGAATAACGTCTCTAATGAACCCACAACCTTTGAATAACATCTCTGATGTATGACTAGAAGTCCAATGCGCTATCCATTGCGCCACAGAGCCGGCACTGGAGCCACTTTTTTGCAAAATAATAACAAAAATGCTCAAGGACCTTGTATTTGCTGAAAATTCGTGCCGTCACGGTTTTAAACACTGCAAAAGGTTGACTCTGGTGGGACTGATGAACCCACAACCTTTGAATAACATCTCTGATGTATGACTAGAAGTCCAGTGCGCTATCCATTGCGCCACAGAGCCGGTGCTGGAGCCACTTTTTGCAAAATAATAACAAAAATGCTCAAGGACCTTATATTTGCTGAAAATTCGTGCCGTCACGGTTTTAAACACTGCAAAAGGTTGACTCTGGTGGGACTCGAACCCACAACCTTTGAATAACATCTCTAATGAACCCACAACCTGTGAATAACATCTCGGATGTATGACTAGAAGTCCAATGCGCTATCCATTGCGCCACAGAGCCGGCGCTGGAGCCACTTTTTGCAAAATAATAACAAAAATGCTCAAGGACCTTGTATTTGCTGAAAATTCGTGCCGTCACGGTTTTAAACACTGCAAAAGGTTGACTCTGGTGGGACTGATGAACCCACAACCTTTGAATAACATCTCTGATGTATGACTAGAAGTCCAATGCGCTATCCATTGCGCCACAGAGCCAGCGCTGGAGCCTCTTTTTGCAAAATAATAACAAAAATGCTCAAGGACCTTGTATTTGCTGAAAATTCGTGCCGTCACGGTTTTAAACACTGCAAAAGGTTGACTCTGGTGGGACTGATGAACCCACAACCTTTGAATAACGTCTCTAATGAACCCACAACCTTTGAATAACATCTCTGATGTATGACTAGAAGTCCAATGCGCTATCCATTGCACCACAGAGCCTGCACTAGAGCCACTTTTTGCAAAATAATAACAAAAATGCTCAAGGACCTTGTATTTGCTGAAAATTCGTAGAAGTAGAAGTGCAACGTGCTATCCATTGCGCCGCTGAAATTTTGTGCCGTCGTGGTTTTAAACACTGCAAATCCAATCTTTAATTGGCACAAACCTTTCGCTATGTAGCCAAGCTCGCTACTGTGAGTTTGATTGTGAGGACTGTCCAGCATTCCACACTTAACTTTTTGACCATTATGGCCTTTGCCATACTTACTAAGCACTCAAAAGAACAAGTCAAAGTCAAGTAGAGTCAGCAGATTTTACTTGCTGACACACACACACACACACACACACACACACACTGTGTGAGAGGATATGGCCTAATTTTTTTTTACACACACTCACTCACTTCTTCATTAGTTTCCAACACATTCTTAGTGATATTAGATCATCAGATGATTTGAAGAAGGGCAATATTTTAATGATCTTTTGAACAATGTAAAATATCATTGTACTAAGCCAGTTCTCTATAGTACAATTAGATATTATTAATACACATTTTGCATACTAACTGACACATTTTCAGTAGATTTGATGTGGTGAGTGTGTCTGTTATCGTTCAGAGCCGATCTCGAGGTTCCAGGTTGAACATTATCATAGTTGCTGAAGGAGCCATTGACAGACAAGGAGAACCCATTACCTCCGTTTTTGTGAAGGATGTGAGTAGAGCTCAGTTTAAGACTGATGCAGGGGAGAAACCAGAAGCTGGACCGACTGGTGGATATCAGTGTCTAAAAAACAGAAGTCAATGGCACAGTTACAGTACAGCGTTTTCTCAGATTGGTTGTTTTTCCTCTTGTCCAGACACTTGCCAAATTCTGAGAGAAGGATTTTATAAAATATTTTTGCCAAAATAATTTCAGTTTTGGTGCCATTGTGGTTTCTTAGCTGCCATTTTGCAGCTCATGCAATCATGCCGGAAGAAATCTGTTGAACGAGAAGCACAACTTTGACACCTCAATAGAAAATACATGAAAATGCCCTCACCAGCACTACAACATTTTTGAAAACATGAGTATTTGACATGTAAAACTCAGTCTCGAGATTGTCAAAAGGTATTCTGGGAAGTCTAGGAAATAAACGGAACTGTGTGAGAGGATATGGGCTTATTTTGTTTGTATCTCCTGCTTTAGTACACACAAGGACACACATCTGATGCAATACACATTCCTGCTCACTGCAGAAGGAAATGTGTAGCATCTTATTAGGTAAGTAGGCTAACATAAGGACATCTTACCTCAGCTAGAAACATCTCACCAGTTGCTAGCTATGGGCCCAAACATCTAATCTCCCAGTGTGTTGGTAAATTAAAGTGGCATTTACCTCAAACATTGGCCTATCTGTCAAATTGGGCTGTATGATTATAGTCCTTCAGTTTCTCTGCATGGCTAGCATGCCCCGTGGAAAACAAACTGGCACAGCTAGCTGTAAATATGAAACTTTTCCACAATGTGGCAAGTTCCTACTGAAGAAAGACAACCAAGTAAATGTCCTGTTCATTAAAGAGATGGATCAGTAGTTATCCTCCATTACCGGATCCAGCTTTTGGCAATGCAAAATGTTTTCTGTCATGTTTTCAAATGCTTTTGCTTCTTTATATCCCTCTAGAACCGTGCTGATAAGAAAAGGCTGAACATTATTATTGTAGCTGAGGGTGCCATAGATAGCCACAACAAGGCAATAACTCCTGATTATATCAAGGATGTAAGTACATTGGAGAAACCTGGGCAAGTCGTGGACCCACAAACTCTTCTGAAGCATGGGCTTTTTTTCACTTCATGGTTTGCTGCACACAAGGTTTTATGCACTATGTGTGATTGTTATTTTAACATTTCACATTTTTGCATGTGACATGCAAGTTATTTTTTTATATTTCTTTACTAAAATATCTACTCCATTATGTTTCTTGATTGTACATATGGATCAGGCATTTGCACCCTTCTTTTACTTCTGCAAGTTCACGTCTGCATGCAATTTATTTGGCACTTGTTAACATGACAGGAGATGTTTTATATGATTTCTCCTTCTGTTCTTTTCTTGAATGCGTTACTCTTGTTTCGGCCCTTTTTGTTTCTGCATTTTCTTAAGATTGTTTGCATGTCAAGATGCCAATGGAATCTTACAAAGAATGAATGTTGCACAGGATAAATACTATTAGATATCTGAGTTGTGTTTTTTATGTGTTTAAAGTAAGTTTAAGTAAGATTAACTGTAAGAATATGTGCTTATGTTTTCATGCTATGGATCTGTAATTTTTGGAGTGAAACCCTTTAAAGTCATGATACAGCTCCTTTGTTTAATACTATTAAACTATTGTATGTTTTCCTATACTGAGCGGTTAATCCTCACTATATTCTATCATTCTATTTCGCTGCCCTTCCATATCCAGCTGGTGGTACGCTGCCTGGGTTTTGACACCAGGGTCACCATCTTGGGCCATGTGCAGAGAGGTGGGACCCCCTCTGCCTTTGACAGGATCCTGGTAAGTCACTGTATCTTGAACAATTCTCAATGGACACATTTGTATGTGAAATCCTCCCCTGTTGTGAGATGATTCATTGGTAAACATGTCAAATTGATATTTTCCTCTTCCAACGTCTGAAGCCTCAAAAAACCCATCCTGCTGCTCAGTATTGACCTTTAAATAACCTTTGACCTTTGACCCTTGCAGGCCAGTCGTATGGGCGTGGAGGCAGTGCTGGCATTATTGGAGGCCTCTGCCAACACCCCGGCCTGCGTTGTGTCTCTGGTTGGCAACCAGGCTGTTCGACTACCACTTATGGAATGTGTTCAGATGGTAAGAGTGTGTGCATGCATGTTGGAGTGAAGAGGTCATGCAGAGACCAAAAAATGAGAAATACAGAAAATGAGATTACATTAGGGGTGTTGTTTTGGATAGATATTGTGATTGTGATTTGAGTCATGATTTTAGTGGGAATTTTAATTTTTGCAGTTCGTTTTCAGTGAAAAAAAAATATAGGTTGTAGTTATAGTTATAGGTTGTTATAATATTACACCTAGCCATATTACAATTTAGATACTATTTTGATTAATTGTTCAGCCCTACTACATGTTAGTCTTAACCTTTTCCTAACACACATATTTGGTGTAGTAATTACTTAAATTGGTTAAAATATACTGTATGTTTATAACATGTAACATTAAAGGGTACTGTTATCCAAGGTAAGCACCAGTGGGAATAAAACTCCCAACGCTGAATATGCTGTTGTGACATTAAAATTTTTCCAAAATAAGCTGAAACAATTTCAGGACGTAACTTACTTAAGAGGAATGAGGTGGAATGTGGATCTGGATCATTGGTGCTCCCGGTTTGACAAAACCCCTTCCACCATTTACCTGCAAGACTGACAGGACAACAAGCATGCCATAGACACACTCAAACTGACCCAGGGGCTTGTCACAGCAGAAGAAAATAACAAATGGCAGATTTTGAAATGTATAGTGTAAAAGGTCTTTTGTGTTTTGTCATTAGACCCAAGAGGTACAGAAGGCCATGGATGAGAAGAAATTTGAAGAGGCAGTGAGACTGCGTGGCAGGTATTTTTTTTACTTCAACTTCTTTGATCAAACATCTGTGTGTCTAACTAAGATTCATCTTCCTACAAACAAGTTTAAAATGAAACACATTAAAGGCTTTTATAGAGCCAATAGTGAGCTAGCAGCACTGAGTCAAGTAAAAGTGCAAATAAGTCACTACTATTTTCCACCAGTTTCATTGCAGGTCCTGTATAACAAGATTGCGCCTGTTTTCCTGTGTCGCAGTTTAACTGTGTTTGCACTGATTTTTGAACTTTTTTTTTGAACTTCAGTTTTCACACCTTTTATCTGCAGGAGCTTTGAAAACAATCTGAGCACCTACAGACTCCTCTCCTACCGGAAAGCAGATTCTGAGCTTCCAAATGTAAGTACCCTTACAACCAAAGAATAAAGAAAACAATGATTGTATCAAATAAGTAAGATTTTACACTTTTAATTCTTCTAATTGTATCTTTCCACCAGCAGCTTTGAGATTTGTACGGTAGCATAAGGTACTTCCTGATCAGGTGCCTTGTGGGTGCTGCAGTCTTTTTGTGACACTAACAGAGTCTGTTTTTGTGTGATTGTCTCTGTCCTGAGGGAGAGGAGGAGGCGGGAGATGAAGAACAGTTTGATGTATGTGATGAGTAATGAGGCTGCAGCTGAGCGGGCTCTAGGTCAGCTTCTGATGCTTCTACAGGCGTAGTTCACAGAGCAGATGAGCTTTTCAGCAACTAGTTTGGACCTTTGTGTTGATCCTTGTTCTTATTCACTTTAATGCCTGACTTCCCCCATGCTGAAATACAATTTAATTACTAGATTTTCTAGGTATAGTCTTCTATCAGGCCTTTTTAATTTACAGAGACAATACATTAACTACATGCATGTTTCTATGGTAACAGTGCCACAAAATGACAGTATCAGTGCTCATTATCTGTCGCTCTGTCTGTCATTGCTTATTTCTTCATGGCTCTGCTTAGAAGTAGAAGTGTAGACATGCAAAGAGTTACTGTAGTGCTTAAGTGAAGGTGTCCCGCTCGCCCGGCTGTTAAGGACAATCACAGGGTCGGCTGTGATCTGCTTCAAATGAACCTGAAGTAGCCCTCCTTACAGTTCAGTGTCAAGTCTGCATAGACAGTGGCTGAAAGTGTCTTTGCTTATTCATAAGTCAAACTGGACAGGCTCCATGCTCTCTCTGTTAAAGTCGTCAGTGGCAGTCAAACACAAAGCTTTTACACAGGTTTTGAGCACTTTTCTTAAAAGCCTTTGGGTGTTCAATGCTGAACACAATCATCTGTGCAAGAACTTTGCCTAAAAATCCAGTCTACGGTCTTAGCAAAGTTATGATTTAGAGCAGGAAATGTTTGCTTAAAGAATCGGTAGACAAGGCTAACTGACCAAGCATTCAAAGCTAACTGTTAATACTTGACAGTAGAGCCCTACCAATTAATATTATTGACAGATATGAGCTTACTGCAGATAAATTGGTATCAGTGTTTACAATAGCCAATAAATGACAATTAAAAAGTTAAATTTAAAAAAGAAAGAGAGAGAAAGAAGACGGATCCTTCAACCATGTTGTAAGTATTGTTGCATAGTTTGCAACTCCTCAGTTGGCTACACGTTTGTTTGGAATGCCACAATTCCACCACAAAACACAGCAATCAGCTGACATAATCAGTGGTACTTTTGTTCAAAGCTTTTAATACTAAAAAAACTGTTTTATTTTTAAACTGCATTATGTCATGTTGTCATGGTGAGGTCTCATAACTACACATAACAAATGTTGGAGATAATCTTTATGTTTTGTGTTTCTGTGAAGGAAGGGATAAAAGAATATCGGCCGATATATCGGAATATCAGATTTTAAAATCCTCAAATGTCAGTATCGGTCTACGAAATCCCATATCGGTCGGGCTCTACTTGACAGTTTTCAATACTCAAATCTAACAACACTCACTGAACTTGTCTGCACAAATGTGGTACTATGAAATAAATATTGGTCACATGCTCTGAGTTTTGCCATAGAGAAGTTCATCAGCAGCTGAGATTTGGACGCCTGTCTATTTTGAGCTTCTCTACATCTTCTTCATGTTCTTTAATCCAGTCCATGTCCTCAATAATCCTATTAAAGGATTGCGGGAGGAGAACTTTCAAGGCCTAATTTATTCCTAGCAACCACCTCTGACCCAACAGTCACCCACCAAATACCAATGAGGCCTTTTGGCCAAGTGTATTTGGCCTGCATTCAAACGTGGGTCTTGTACACACCACTTCATGGGCTTCAACTAAAATATATGGACCTAGTTCACTTTGATATTAGGGGTTGAAAGTTGCTGTGCAGCAATTTGGGATTGTACCCTAAAACATTTTCTCATCAACTAGTGGCACAGAGGTTTAATAGCAAGAAAACTTTGAATAGCCAGTGAAAGTTTGCATTTGGCAGTCAGTAATTTCAGTGGCTGTCATGAGAAAGCAGCTGCTGCTTCACTGAGTCTTTTGGCAGCATGTGGCTTTTTGCATGCAAGACAATCTTGGCCTTCTGCTGTACTGCTTTGAGGCAAAATCTTGTTGACTCAGCCGTTAATGAGACATGGATGGTATGTTCAGGCAGTGGAGACAGACAACTGCCCTGTCAACATTTTATTATATACAATATGATTCTGTATAAAGTAAAAAGAAGCAGCGAATAACCTGCAGTGAGTTTTGTCCAATTTGCCTACTTCATGCCTGTTGCAGAAATCTCTACTTGTCTTCATTGCCTCTAAACATTGCTGAAATACCATCTTCTTCAAACCAAACCTCATACATGCTGTACAATCACAGCATGTACACTGAATGTCACTGAAAGACACGCCTGAGGTGTGAAGATGTTTTAAAAATGTGACAAAGCTTGGGGGTGTATAAAAGTCCAGGTTTTGCTCTGTCCACTATGTGTTTAAGTGTATTTGAGTGTACTGTGTGTGTGTGTGTGTGTGACTGATGCTCTCTGTCACCCACAGAGCAACTTTAATGTTGCAGTGTTGAACGTTGGCGCGCCGGCTGCAGGCATGAACGCCGCCGTGCGTTCTGCTGTCAGAGTGGGAATCACCGAAGGCCACAAGATGTTTGCTGTCAGCGACGGCTTCGAGGGATTCTACAAGGGACAGGTAAGAGTGAAACTGATACATATTTATTTACAGTACACTAGTCTAGGGCTGCTTCACATAATCTGTTATTCTTTTAATTCATTGATTAGACGAGTAGTCTAATGCTGCTCATTAGATATCCTGGTGTCTTCAAATTACTTGTTGTATCTGACCAACTGCCCAAAACTCAAAGATATCCAACTTACAATGGTGATAAACAGAAAAGCAGCAAATACTTACAGTTTAAAAGCTGCAACAAGAGAGTTTTACATTTTACTAAGTGCCAATCCTTTTAGCACTACATTTGTCCACAATTTTGTTCAAAGTCCAAAATGTTAACTGAGCTACAGTAACTTCAGCATTGGCAGAGCAGGGGCAGGGGAAAATCCTCTGTGTGGCTGGTCGGTGTGGTGAGTTTGGCGTGGCAGGCAGGGGTGCAGTGAGTCGCTACCGACTGTGTGCCTCCAGCGAGGCAGGCAGGTTAAGGCGGCTCAGAGGGCAGTTCTTCCAGGCTGGAAGACTAGAGGACAGAGACACGATTAAACAATAGCTACCAGGGAACACGGGAAACAAGAGTAGATACTGATAACAATGCGCAAACAAAGCTGGATACTGGCTTGAGACCTACAGTGCTCAACATAACAATCCAGCGGGGAACTGAAGAGAACACAAGGATGATAAAGCAGCACTGACCGCAGGATGAGATTCATGTGTACCAATCAGCTTGCTAAGCAGGTGTGGAAACCAGGAACCACCACGGCTATGGTCCACTGCTGCAACATGCCAGGAAGAAGCAGCACAGGGAGCAGAGAAGAGAAAGAGCGAGAGAAGGAAAGACAGAGGGCCTTTCTCATTTCCCTAAATTTCTGCCTACTCCATCCTCGATCCTCGAGCCTGTGACCCGGAAATCAATCTCAGCGTGCCATCTTGAAGGACATCTCAATTCCTAAAATGCACATCGAGGAGCGAGGATCGAGGATCGAGGATCGAGGAGGCTTGCTGGAGGAGCTATAAGCGAGGATGCATCGGTGTATCCTCTGCAGTGTTTATTGTATTCATAAGTTGTAGTAGTTAAGCCTAATCAAATGCGCAATCAAACTTTCTGCCCTTTACCGTTTGTGTAGCGCCTCATAAAGCGCATTTACGCACGAGCCACAGCAACATAAATTAATAATTAAAAATCAGACAGGATCGGTCTGGATCTAATGTTAATTAATGTTCTGTGTTCTTCGACACATCCAAAAGCTCTCACACACAGTCCAGGTTCATACAATAAAACTGTAGCTGTCCTCCTGATCAATCCTCAGCTCCATCAGAGTCTAAACATGGGTTATAGAAGCTGAAAGTTTAATTCTGTTTCCTCTGTTTTCCCTGTCGGTCCTGTCAAGTTTATTACTGCAGGTGTTTTGTTTTGTCCCACATTATTTGCTGTGACATTACTGCACGGATGGAAATGTTTAAATGACTGACATCTGCCTCTAATCATCAGAGTAAATCGTTAAAGATAACACTGCTGGTGGGGAGTGGGTGGATGATCTGTGCGTATAGGCCTGTATGAGTTCTTTTAATGTCCGAGCCGATCCACGCATCACACCAATTCAGCTGTTATAATCGTGATAAAACAGTGCAAACAGCTGCTGACATCAAAATATTAGGCTCTAATATCAACCAGAGCGTTCAGCACTGATCTGCAGTGCTTCATGTTATAATAATAGTGCTGATGTAGTCTGCACATGTCAATTGGGGCTATATGACATAAATTTTACTCTGTCATTTTGTAAAGGGACTGATGATGAAACACTCATCTCATCAGTCATCTCCTGTTTTCAGGCAAAAGGTGCACCGCAAAATAATTGTAATCGAGGAGGTAAGGAGGCAGAAATTTTGGAAATGAGAAAGGCCCAGAGAGACAGAAAAGCCAAAACATAACAACCAGCCACATACACTCGTGATGAGAAAGAAACAAAAACACTATCATACTCATACTGACAATCCCAGCCATGTCATAGCGTGTTGTAACGTGACAAATTTATGGTGTTTTCTTTCCAAACTATTTTGAAACACGTTTGCTCTTTTCACAAATTAGTTTTTAGAACACTTTTTCGTTGTTTGACTCTGCAGTCAGTAAAGATTTTTCTGCAGTAATAATGGAAAGACTAAATGGACTTCACACCATATATTGAAATCTTACTTGTGTGTGGAAATATCTGCATCACTTACTCTAAAAGCTTAAACTACATGTCAATGTCAAGGCTGTGTACACGTGCTGTCTTTTTGTATAAAGTAAAATAAATGTTATTGTACATCTTACAGTATTTATGGGCTTTTCTTCAGTCAGTTAACTCTTAAAATGTTTTAGAAAATGAGCAACAAACACACAATTCAAGAATGAAATCTGCTCTAATTTGATCTTGCGCAATGATGGTTGCAGTATTGTGAGAACATAGGTGCAAAAGAAGTTTATTCAGGCTAAATAAATATTATAGTCATGCTGTGTACACTGTAGCTTTGGGTTCTCATGTTACCCGAACACATGCAGAACCTTATTCACCTGAACTTGACACTGCTGACAAGTTATCATATCTTACAGCGTGATTGGTCAGTCTATTGTGCCTTTTCTCTGCGCCTGTTATTTCTTCACTTCTTCCACCTCTCTTTCATAAATGGCTTCATTACATGCTGAGACTTTAGCCTCTGCATTTCTCACTGACCCAGGAGCAAATTCTACTCTCAGCTCGTGAATGTGACTATAAACTTAAAACTAGAAGCACTCATTGTTAAGAGTAAACAATAGGTGTAAGCAATATTCTGACCAATTACTGACTGATAGCAGAGAGCAGGAAATGGCGGCTGCTGCACTGGCTACAGTGATAAGACTTAAGTATGTCCAGATATACAGTGCTACTTACTGTAAGCCAATTACTCCACTCCCACAGCAGCTACACCAAGGACTCGCACACAGTCTTTGTTTTGGTCACACTCGTCTGAGTGCATGCATGCGTTCCACAAATGAAAACACATAACCTTTTCAGCTGTGCAGAGAGTAGCAGTGACTTGTTGCGATGAAGCGCAGAGATGAGTTGTGGTGTAGAAGGATTAGACTTTGTTGAAAAGTGGAGCTGGAATCCCCTACTAAAAGCCCAACTAAGTAGGACACAGCTTGTAATGTAGAACTGCTGGTTAAATGTACATGCGCTGGCACAGTAACAGTACAAGGACAGGAAGGAATACCGATACTATAAAGAGAACGAACACTGACTTTAAAGGATCATACTGGTAGTTTTTCATGTTTTAGTGATTTTATTACAAAAACATATATTTTCTAGCTGTGCAGATAGTTTTTCTGCCTCCATCCCAATAAAATGGATTTTAGACAAAAAAAATAATTCTGGCGCTCAATGCATTAAAAGATATAGGTTCCAAAAATTCTGCAGTTTTCAGTTTCTGCAGTTTTCAGTTTTCAGTTTTCAAGTGCATCCAACAAACTCTGACAGAGAGGTCTGTCGATCGATGAATCGTCACCTAAACATCAACAAAAGCAACATCTACTTGTGAAGTGGTTTTGGAAAATATTAATGTGCATAATTACAACTTCTCCCTGTGTTTTTTACAATCAGATCAAGGAGATCAAATGGGGAGATGTGGGTGGCTGGACAGGCCAAGGAGGGTCCCTGCTAGGGACAAAACGGTAAGTTGAAGTGTAGAGGTGTGATCTGGATATTGATAGTGACTTAAATCCTGTATACATTTTGTTTCTTTACATCACACATAATAAAAAAAAAGATCTCCTCTTTTTTTCTTTTCTCAAATAACTCATGGTTTCTATCTTTAAAAAATAATGGATTGGATCCTGAACACTATGCTCTACCAAGAAGTAACAAAAATAACAAAACCTTGACCTTGAACTTTGATTAGTTTAGTGACCAAGAACTATTTTACTCACCTTCCCCTGGAATATTAATCCCATCTGAATGTGACAGAACTCTTTCCAATTCTCATTCTACTGCCAATGTAACTTTACCTTTTAAACTTCTGATTTATGAATTTCAGATATTGTCAGTACATTGGCAGAATTTTCAAGGTTTTCACATAATAACTATAAATAAAAACAACATGGAACATTGTTCAGCTATTCAACTATTTCCTTTCTATATGGTAGAACTCTTCCGGGCAAACATCTGGAAAAGATTGCTGAGCAGATTAGGATCCATAACATCAACGCCCTGCTTGTCATCGGAGGATTTGAGGTATGTAAACTTTACCTGATTTTTGAGCATAATGACTTTCATCTTAATATCACAATCTTTCTGAACATCTTATTACTTAGAAAAAAGAACAGGCTTGCCAGTATTTGTTGTATTTAATTTTATTTTAGTCTGTTGTATAATTAAGATAAACTGATAATTGAATAAAAGCTGAATTCTTGTTCTGTGAAAATATAAATGTGAATTATTTTCATTGTACCTGCCATACAGCATCATTAAGCACTGTTTCTAGGATTGAGTTCATTCTCACCTGTATTTGACTTATATGGCATTTCAATTCGCAAAACATGTCTTGACTTCTGTATAACAATATTTTAAAGATACATTCAACACATTTAAATGTTATCGGCTCTCTCCCTGTTTGTCCATATATGGTTATTACGCCATGGCCAAGCTGCAAAGCCAAACCTTGTGATGATTTGTGTGTAAAAACGTCATTTAGAATCCTAAAAATAACCTTAATCAAAAGATGGATTTAAAATTCAGGAGTTAAGTGAACTAGATGTTAAAGACAATGTTTCATTTTTGAAACCTGTAGAATTTTCTTGGTGGGACTAATTTGGGTAACGGGTCATATACAGGTCACGCCTGGGGGTCACTAGCAGGCCCCAGAAGTAGATCGATCTCTGACATAGGTCTTTGCCTCTGTCTTTCCTTGTCAAGATGATGACAGCTGGGCTGAAAAGGAGACACCGTTGTTCAGGCTCAAAGCTAGCACGTTTTCTTGGAGTCTCGTATGTTTATAGTGTCACTGTCTCCGCTTAGAATGCAATACATGTGACCTCCACTTCCCAGTGTTATGCAGGTAATGCATTTAAGTCTAGCTTCCAGTAGGATGCCTACACATATTTAGGCCAGTAAAGAATGAGCTTTTATGGTATAGCAAAGGGAAAAATATTGTGGCCCAGGAGGGATTCTTGAGATTGTGGTATTGGCTAGGCATTGTGTTCTCACTCGGTATGCTGATGCTATGATCCCAATCTGATCCCCCATTGACCTCCTCTATAGACCTGCTCCCAAGAATTTTCATAACACATCCTGCCAGGTTTGAACACTAACTGCCCACATTACATTTTGGGCCCAAATGTAATTTCCATCACTAGTTGAAACACATTTTTAGAATGAAACAGTAAAATAATAAACACATGAAATAAAAATAAAACCAGTCAGTTTTCCAAAATCCAATGGTTTTTGACTTTGGTAGCTTGGCTGGAAAACAAACACTGTCTCCCTCCCTGTCTTTCTGTGTGTGGAGCTTCAACTCTGTCTATGTGTCTCACTGTCCGTCGTGATTGGTCTGGCTCTCTCCCCTTGGCTTCTCCCACCATTATACTACTCCCAGACCTGTGTCTGTCCCACTCGCCATTACTCTCTCTGAGTTTCCAAACAGTGTTCAGATTTCAATCTACATACATTATAGTTCTCATGCTGGAGAAAAGAAATACTCAAAGCTGTCAGTATGCATTTTAAGTTAGTCAAGCTTTTTATTGTGCTCTTGTTAAACGCAGTAGTAGACTTGAAGGAGCTGCTAATTGCAAATTTTTAGTTCACACTAGCAAAGGCAATATAAGCGCCTGTTTCCCATGCCAGTAAAGCCCCTCCTGAAATGAAAAATTTGTAATTGGCAATTTGGCAGATAGATAAACATTAGTGCATGTCATTGCACTGATCAATATCAGCGAGAGACTGCTTGCTCATAGTGACAAAACCATAAACAATGATCACCAACAGCAGCTTTGTGGAGCATTTTAGCCTCTTTTAGTTATATAGCTCACAAATTCCACTTTCATCAGCGACGATTATTAGCAACTAGCTGGTGAAGAGAGAAAGGAGCTAAAAGAGAGGTAAATATTCAACAAATCTACATTCATCATCTAGGATGTGAGATTAGGCAACAGTTTACTATAAAAATCAATTAATGCACCTTTAAATGCATTGATGTCTTGTATACTAACTATGGTATAGTACTATAGGATGTAATATGGAATTTGAACACCATCCCCTAAAATCTCCAGACTCTGTCCACCATGGTTTTTCCTAAAAACTGGCCCATGTCCTCTTGTCCACTGTACGTGTTAGACCTCTTGACTTTTCTCCCACACCTCATTCCCTTTGTCTGTACGTCCTCAACAACAAACAATAAGACGTTGACTCTTACTGCTGTAGGCCTACGTGGGATTACTGGAACTTTCTGCTGCACGGGACAAATATAACGAGTTCTGTGTGCCCATGGTTATGGTCCCCGCCACAGTCTCCAACAATATACCTGGTTCAGACCTCAGCATTGGCTCAGACACTGCTCTGAATGCCATTACTGACGTAAGTGTGTGGCTGGGTTAAAGTTTATGTGTGTGTTTGTAGTCAGACTTAACACACACACCATCCAGCCTGTAGGAGTTTGGGGCTTCGCTGATTGACAGCTCACTTCCTCTCATTAACAATCAACAAGAAACCTCCGCAAAGGGACACATGATATAGACAAAAAGTTGTCATTAATTGCAATAAACATAGCGATAATGACATCACCAGCAATAAAGTCTATATACTGTATAATAGAGTTTTAAAAAACTGACTTTTCAAATTCAAAATATATCATTAAAAGCTTCTTTTTTCCTTTTCAAATAGAAAGCTTGGTTCTTAAACTGTGGGCAAAGGTAAACCTGCAACGAATGAGAAATATATAAAGAAACATGCAGTTTTTGTTAAAAGTCATATCATTTCAGTACATTAAACTTAAGGGATACACAAGAGAAACAGTTTGAGAACCGTCACTGTTTCAGTGGGATGTAATATTGTCTGTGTAAACACAGGCAGCCTGACACTCAACAACCAAACGTGGTAAGTAATATATTCGTTGACCTAAATGGAATGTATAAGCTTAACCTTCTGCTTTCACATAAACCATATCATAATGGTAGTAAATGATAGTGACATTAGAAATGAAAGATGAAAACAAAGACTCAAACACAACAATTCAGACTGGCAACAAAGATGCTTTAGAAAATGAAACAGTAGAAACTCTGTCACAATTATCACTAGGGGCGTGACGAGACACTTAACCCACGAGACGAGACAAGATTTTAACACTATTTTTAAGGAATCTGTAATGCTAAATTATATGAAAACTTTGAATATTAAACACTTTATTCCCTGCATTCTGATGATTTTTTTCTGCACCCGTTAGGCTGATTTCTTTTATATAAAACATTCAGGTGGCAGGTGACAATTCACAATCTATAGCCTATCTATAACAGATTATAAATCAGTGCAGCTCTCATTCATTCTGTGCTGCTTTCAGATCTGTTTCTCCTGTAGAGCAACAACATCCCTGCTGAGTCATGAGTCACATTTAGTCTTCCCTCCTCTTTGTGTCTTTGTTTGGGGAAGTAACTTCTTTAAATGTGACTATGGCACTTTTTCACTTCAATAATAAATTAATTAATTTTAATTTAGTTAGAAACTCCTGGACTTTAACAGCTCTGGTTTAAACAGATTTTATGCTCATGTTCAAAACTTTCTGCACATTCAGACTCACATGTCACACTCCCACATATGTGGTCTCTGACATGTCCAGAAAAAAATCTGAATATAACGAGAATGTGATCATTTCATGAGAAGTGTTCCTGCCCTTTACTCTGCTGTGCCTTACGTTATTAATCCACTGGAAGTAACGTTATCCCCTTCAGACCGTTTGCTGCATGTGAAAGCGAAAGTAACTGAAACACTTGTGATCAGGCGGAAATCTCACCACAAATCCACATGCTAACTTCAGCAGCTCTGATAAAGTTCAGCCCACAGTTCCAAACAGAGCAACGTTGCGCTTCAGTTTTTAGATGTTTAGGTTGCAAAACTCTCAGGGCGTATGCCGGTGTGGCACCAGCTGAGTGGAGTTGATTAGCTCCATAAGTCTACCTTATCAGTTTGTCACTGCGTGACAAAGTTAATGTGTGGTTTGACAGCATGTGAAAAATGTCGATGTCAATTGCGTGAGTCTCGCGAGACAGCTTTTTACCTGACAAGAAATCTTGTCACAATTTAATCTCGTGGCACGAGATCTCGTCACACCCCTAATTATCACAGAAGCTAATAAACAGGATTTGGCTAATGTCCACACACACTGCATTAGGACACGTAGTGCGGAAAAGCCTTGTTGCTGGTTGTTATAGGAGGCGAGCTTGTCAGCAAAGGTCCCAGGTAAGTGCTGAGGCATGCAGTGACGTGTTGTGGCATGTTTATGGCGCGTGGCCCTGGCGTGTTCGTGCAGCTTTCCCTGTGTTTGTTTGGAATAGAACACTCTGCCAGCATCACTGAATGCAGTCTACATTTTAGTCTTGTTGTTGTCCAGGCCATGCCCTCTGTCAGACTTCAACCTCTCTGCATGCCTGATTTAAAAAAAGAAAACGCCATTTGCTTCTTGCACATAAAAGGAAGCGTCACACAGAGCCTCCGGAGTCCCTCCCCAGCCTTTATCTTGTCCTGTCAACACCAGTACATGTCAGCCAGGCTGAACACCCCCCTACTCCCCTCCCATCCCATCTCCTCTCAGCCAATGGGAAGCCAAAGCCCCCGTCACCTGGAGAGAGCCAGCCAGCAGCGCACACACTGCAGCCCATACGCACGACACAGAGCTGCATCCTCATGGTCTCAGCTTAATTGAAAGGGCTCCCTTTAGTTGTGTCCTTCAACCTTAGTGGTTTGAAAACAAATCCTTAACACAGATCCTCAAGTTGAACTAAGTGCCACTGACCATATCTTAAAAGAAAAACTTAAACGTGGTAACGCTCCTTGAACTTGTTTATTTAAACCAGCATCAGTTTCACCCCCTTAAGTTTTTAAATCTTCATTTGTTGTGTATATACAAGATGTTGTGGATGTTAGTGAAAGCACTCTGGAAACTGAAACATATGAAAAATATTTCATCTCTGGGGAAGATTTTGCTTTCATTTTTTGAAGCTTGACAGTGGCATCCTAAAGTGTGTTGACATCTGTTGCAGCACATATTACAGAAAACCAGAAAAGTGCATTGTTTTTCTGTTTAGTAATGGCAAATATAGTATACCACACAGTATATGAAAAGAAATACATCAAATTGGGACACAGCTTCAGTTTCAACCCCAAGAATGTCAGATAACAAGGTAACGAAGGATACAAGCCAAGGGTAGCCACTGTGCACCATGAAGCAGCCTTTAAAATCACTGAAGTCTCCTAGACAAGGAAGGACACACTGGCAGGGAATCAGAGATGTAGTGTGCCCCCTAGTGGTCTAACCCCATATTACGGCCACCACCATCAGGCTTTTGAGTCCCTGCTGCAGCTGTACGAGGGCCGGGCTGACTACGAGGAGCTTTGCATCCCGATGTGCATGCTGCCTGCGACCATTAGTAACAATGTGCCCGGCACCGACCTCAGTATCGGCGCCGACACGTCCCTCAACGCCATCGTGGAGGTAAGGGCCAGTGGAAAATCCAAAACAGCAGGAAAATAACAGCTAGAGGCATCTATAGTGTTGCCTGTCTTATAATGACAGTTAATGTGATGAAGATATAAGAGAGCAATGAATGAAATAATGACTAAGCTGTATATGGGATCACAACTTAAAATCCGATTGCTTGGGTAACAGGACTTTTGATGGCTAAAAAGGTGGAGAAATCCCAGTTTAACCTGTTAAGATACCTTGATAACACAGAATCAGTCCTGCTTGCTATGTAGAGAGTTGAATCATGACCCCAGTTCATCTCAGAAAAACTGTATGAGAGAATTGGAGTAAAACTACAATCTGTAAGTAGACATTTTCCTGCTAATCCAAAAAACACAACGCAATGTGCTTGCATGTCAGTGACTGCTGTTATGTTATATTGCTGATGAGGACCTTTATTTTGGAAGCGGCTGTGTGTCAGATCCTTCTCCTCCTGCTGGTTTGTGAAGCCATTTGTGTTTGAGGAGTGAATCCCTGTGACACGCTGTTCTGGATTACAAAATGTTTGTCAGTGCTCCTGTTTTAGCTGCTGCACTGTTGATACCAGATGAGTGAAGTCTGCCATCAAGACCAATACAAGCGGCAGAATTTTAGACAACTAAAAAAGAGATAAAAGAGATGTTTATGTATACCATCCACATCTGATAGACTTCATTCATCTGGTTGGACCAAAGGCCCAGTATGCACAGGTCAGCTCAGTGTAGTCTGATTCTTTTCAATATGGGAATCTTTACCCTCTTACAACCTTACAGTTAAGCTCAAAAACACATGGTTGTAACTTTTCAAAGGAAATCTTAATTCAGCTGCCATAAGTTTTCACATCTTACAACAATGAAAAGGCCCGTTCAAATGTTGGTTAAACCTTTACTGTCTCATAGAAGACAATCAAGAACGTGAAATTAAAGTCCTGAAAATACATGATTTATTTTGCAAAATGTGTTTTAGTTGTAAGTAAAGTAAAACTTAATTCACTTCTCTACAATTCGCCTGCAATAAAGAGTTGACCTGTGCATCGCTGTTTGATCAGACTTTATGGCTGCATGTTTAGTCAGTATTTGATGACTAAAGTAGAGCTGCAGCTGATCATTATCAATTCTTCTTTTGATGGTCTACAGACATAAAGCTAAATTCCCATCAGTTTTCCTCAGATAAATAAAAGCAGCAAATCCGCACATTTTAGCCACAAACTATAAATATTTATATGATTAATTCCTCTAAAATGGTTATTCAGTTTCTGTTGATTGAATAACAGATCCTTTCAGCTCTACTTTAGTGTTTGTCGATCAAAAATCGATCTGCTTGTGACTAACTGTATAATCGGTGTGCGATTCAGACGTGTGATCGCATCAAGCAATCAGCCAGCGGCACAAAGCGGCGGGTCTTCATCATTGAGACCATGGGGGGCTACTGTGGCTATCTGGCCACTGTGGGCGGTCTGGCTGCAGGCGCCGACACGGTCTACATCTACGAGGAGCCGTTCGACATCCGGGACCTGCAGGTAAGAGAAACAGCCTGCTTATAGCAAAATCATTTTCCAAGTTTTTCTTGAAGTATTTGATAACACTGTTTTAGTAACATTTAAGCGCTCCCGTGGCCCTTGCATCTCCCTCCAGTGGCTTATTTTCAGATGAGTACATTTTTTAGAACATCAACAGGAATGACTTTATATCTGCTTTAAACACAAATACATATATCATTTCAAAATTCTGCCCTTGGCTCTAATGAAGCAGCAGAGATCACACTCGCAGCAGCTTCCCTCAGTTCCATCACTGCCTGGGTGTTGCAGGAGTGTGCAGGTGACCCAGACTATGGCAGTGCGTATGAAGAAACTTATTAATAATCCCTGAGCTGCATCACTCATTCCATGACAGACAGATCCTATCACCACAGATCAGGTCGGGGGGATTAGAGATGTCTGGGCTGTCATCGTGTTTATGTTGTTACTGTGTCAAATAAACAAGACAAAACCTCTATGCAGTTCGTTGCAACTTGATTTAACCTTTTTAAGGGCACACGAGCCACAGAGCTAATGCAAAAATATTCAGATTTATTTATTTTTTAATCTAGTACAATTAGATCTCTCTGATTTACTTGTTTTATTAGTTTTTTTTATGTGATTGCCTTGTGTGAGCCACTACTTTACAAATAATATACCATTGCATAGCAACAGAAGATTAATATTGATTGAATTAGGTTAAGATTCTTTATTAGACATTTTTAATCATCATCAGTCTAGTCAGTTTGCTACAAAGTGTTATAATTTGAAAAAGGTAAAAAAGGTTGTTCCTCCTGAAGACATTTTGAAAATTGCAGAAATGATTAAAAATAAAGGAAACAAGAACTGAGTATTATAGATTCAAAACTCAAACAAACCTTTCTTTTGCATTAAATCTACTCTTTGCCTCATCAGAATGGTAGAAACAGCAAATGCGGTGTCCCCTGGTGGTGTAAACGTCACCCTGCACCTCTTCATTCTGGGGAGTGGTGAGACAGAGGCGTGATATTTGCGGCTGGGTCAGCTGCTCGTGCAGGTTGCAGGCCGCTTTCGCTCCGGGTTAATGTGAGGTTTCGCTCTCTGTTTTTAGGCCAACGTGGAGCATCTGACGGAGAAGATGAAGACGTCCATCCAGAGAGGCTTAGTGCTCAGGTGAGGCTCAACACTCCAGATACCAGGCCATTTGTTCTCTTTTTGAAGGTTACACAGCTGTTTCCTTGGCATTGCAATGCTGTTTAGCTTTGCATGGCAGTGTGTGTTTGTGTAGGACTGAGGGAGAAAACACGAACGAAAGGAGTGGAAAAATATGTGCATACTTTTTAATGGTAAATCATTTACATTTTGTGGTGTTATTGCAAATATGTATTTGTTTTTAGTTCATTACATTTTTAATATCGTTTGCAGCAAATGGACCTTACAGACTTGACTTCATGTCATCTATTGTGGCTATTTTGGTCCACTGCACCATCACGCTGTTGAAATTGCTCCCAGCAGGACGGAGGTCTGTGGAAATGGGACAAATGTAGTACTTTGGACAGTGTGTAGGTGACATTGTTTGCTGAAGTTTGCACAAACGCGTGATTTCATTATTAGAAGACACACTGAAGTATAATGGTGCATTGCAAGTGGCTCTGCAGGCTGCAGAGCACAGCAGACTGATGCCCTGGCTCAAAGGCACTTGAGAACAAGCTTGAGGACACTGCTTACTTTGTCTTTCATCAGTCTAAAAAAATCTCACTTGCCTCTAGTGGCGTCTACTCATGCAGATAGTTTGGGTTTTATTTGTCCAGGTTTTTATATGTCTGTCTGAGAGATTTATGTCTCCACCCCAAAACAATGGAGATTAATAGAAATTTTATCATTGAAAAAACCAACATCAAAATCTCTTTTCAGAATCTGCGTGGATTATCCACAGAATTCACTGTCCGCAACTTTCATAGGGGATTATTTGTGATGTAGAAAGTAGTTCCACAGAGAACAGCAGCTTCTGTTGGAACAACTTAGAAGTTACTTCAGTGAGTCCTTTAACTGACCTGTTGCCCTTGTTATGTGTGTGTGTGTGTGTGTGTGTGTGTATTTTAGAAATGAGAACTGCAATGAGAACTTCACCACTGACTTCATCTACCAGCTGTACTCTGAGGAGGGACGAGGAGTCTTTGACTGTAGGAAGAACATCCTCGGTCATATGCAGCAGGTTGGACACTTACTGCACAGGCTTTTTATTTTCACCATTTGAAATAAATTAGGTATGCAAGGTATGGAACCATGTAATCCTGAAATTGTAAAAATACCCATGGTCGCAGAAAGCTGCAGCCTATCACAGCACGAGGTCCGTCAGGGTGTCCATTAAATATTGTATAGTAGGGCCGTTTGATAATGCAATTAGTGTGTTGTGACTTGTAGACTTGTGATTCTAAACAAACTGTAATCAGTCAACTACGAGAATGAGATGAGAGTTTTTGATTGATAATGCATAACATGGGATCATTTTACATATATTATACATATGTCCTTCTTTAATATTGCCTCGCTGTATTTTAAATAAAACAGTAATTTCCTTCCTGTTCACAGGGAGGAGCTCCATCACCATTTGATAGAAACTTTGGCACCAAAGTTGCTGCTAAAGCCATACAGTGGATCACACGGACGCTGAAGGATTCTTACAAAGGAGGTGAAGAAAACTTGCTCCAAGTTCCTTGTTTTTCTGGATTCATTATGGCTGTGTCCATTTCAGCGTCAGTGCATGACTGACTGCAGTATGTGTATGCACAGACCTCATGTGCTTTGGTTATAAAAGCTCCTGCTTGTCTTCAACGCAGGGCGAGTGTTTGCTAACTCCGAGGACACAGCCTGCCTGTTGGGGATGCGTCGCAGAGCTCTGGTCTTTCAGCCTGTGGCCCAGCTCCGGGACGAGACTGACTTTGTGTAAGAAACATTTTCATCTCTAGCAACACAGCTCCTTGATTAATATTCGCTAAACAGGTGAGACAAACCTAACAATATCCCAACAACTAGAATTATAAAAAAACCCATGATGCTTGTTGCATAATACCGAAAAGAATAGTTCAACACTCATGAATAATTGCTAAAGTTAGCGCGAAGCTAACTTGGGGGTGGTGATGGTGCAGTGGATAAGACTTTGGTGTTCTGGGTTCAATCCCCTGTTGTGACACATCTACCAGTGTGTCCCTGAGCATGACACTTAACCCCTAGTTGCTCCCGAGGCGTGCGACCTCTGACATAATCAGCAATTGTAAGTCGCTTTGGATAAGTGTCAGCTAAATGTGTAACTGTTTACTGGTTCATGCTTCATGTTGGCATACATACATTGGAGTGCACTGCAGTGTTTGTATGCTAATATGAAGCATGAACCATATACCAGGTATAACTTCACTGAAATGCCAATATGGAAATAGTAATATCCATAATTATGTTTTCAGTGGTGTATAAAGACCTAACATAATGAACCGTTTATTTTTATTACCTTAATAACCCAGACAAGAGCCAACAAGAGTGTGTGCGCAGCTGTGGCTGAGCCATTGCTTGCAATTAGCAACCCTCACCACTAGATGCCACTAAAACATAACAAACTGAACCTTTTACATCTACCTCATCTACCGTCAGCCGCCCCAAACTGCAGCATTAGGTCACTTTTTCTATTCAACAAATTCTCACAAACATAAGTAGACATGCTTCCACTCACAGCAAACGTTGTGACTTGTCAAATACAGTATAACTGTATAAAATTATACAGTATAACTAACATTTCTGCTGTAAATATCTACATAATGCAGTGTTGTTTATTATTATTATTATTATTATATGTTGACTGGTTTAGCTTTATCTCATCCTTGTCTTTTGTCTCCCCAGGCACAGGATCCCTAAGGAGCAGTGGTGGCTGAAGCTCCGTCCACTGATGAAAATCCTGGCCAAGTACAAGACCAGTTACGACGTGTCTGACTCCGGCCAGCTGGAGCACGTGACCCGGGTCCGACCCAGAGAGAGCAACACCTCCGCAACCATCTGAACCAATGCACTGCCGCCGGAGGAGAGCTTCACTCCAACAAGGAAACGGCTTCACAAAGCACAGTGACAGCTACTCACACAATGACTGATCGACTGCAAATAAATTAAGATAGATAGTAGATTTTAAAAATATAGTAGGTAAAAGTCATGGAACTTTTCAGAAGGGATCTTCTATATTTTAGATGACAGAATTGAGTCATTTGGATTAAAGCTCTTTACGTTGTTTCAAGATAGCAGAACGGACGTATTTTCTAGATCCCCAAAGTTATTATAGACTTTAATATATATATGCACTCCTGATTACGTACTGTATACGTATTCACGTTTTAGTCCTGAAGATGTAGTTACTTGTTTTTTTTAAAGCTACCTAGCTGAGCAAACATTTGTGTTGTGTAAACACAGTGAGGCTGAGGTGGGCGATCAAAGTCTAGCTTTTGTTATTTTAATTATTTTCTACAGCCCCCAAATTAATATAATCCCCTAAAGCTGCTTATAAAGAGAATATATGCCAAGAGGATCACATGCTTTCAGTCCAAAGTCTGTTAGAACCGTCTACCATCTTGATTGTAAAATGCGACCTACTGGAGGTGTAGTGAGCCGAGCTGGCCGTGTCCTATCACCTGCTAATTGTGTGTGTGTGTGTGTGTTGTGACTTTGCCTTTGTATCCACCCTGAGCTTTGTGTGGCATCGTATAGTGGTACTTGTGAGTAGGTCCTTCTGTGTCTGTAAATTTGGCAGTGAAGCAGAGGATGTCTGAAACTTGTCCGCAACATTAACTTTATGTGCTGACAGTGTGATGAGTGTCCTGTGAGAGTAATAAAACATTTATTGTGTGGAAAGTTATGAATCTGTGTTTGTTAATGAGATTAATTAGTAACTTCTGTTTGATGAGGAAAAGGGGATGGAAGTCAAAAGGTGAGCCTTTTGACTGGTCATCCAAATTCCAAACACCCCTTTTCTTACCTCTTGGGGTTACGTAGCAATGGTTTGGTTTTATCTGTTTGGGTTCTGAGACATCCGTCTCACAGCATAGTAAAAAAGGGAAAACATGGGACATTCGGTGGGAAAACCGATGGCTTTCTTGCAGAGTTACATGAGAAGATTGATACCACTGTCATCACTGTATGGTAAAGCGGCAGGCGGTAAGCTTAGCATAAAGACTTGAAACTGGGGAAACAACTAATCTAAAGTTAATAAATTCCACGTACACGTGTTCAGGAAATTAATTTAGCTGTCAGGAGCCATATAACCTTCATGCTGCAGGAAAATCAACTGAAGTCACAAGGCTTTCATGATTTAAACAAAAAAAAAAAAAAAACTTGAAATCATGAAATACTAAAGAACCGACTCCGATTTTGTATTCAATACGATAATGTAATCACATTTTCATAAATATGTACAGAATATATTGAAAGAAAAATAATCTGAAGAATCAGATTCTGAATAACACATCACAGTCACAGTCCTGTGTGCTTTAGCTTTTTTTGCCACCATTTAAAATAAAGCTTAACCAGAGAACTGCTTTTGGATTTTCAGTACATAATGTGTCTTGCCACTGTGGTGCTTTGGAAGTCCAGTTGAGTTTTCAATTATAAAATACAAAATGATCAGACTATTTTACAATCCATGAGGGATCTTTTGCAATGGTCTCGTTCTCTGGGCCCAGGATGGCAACGCCACACGTCTTCTGACCAACACTCAAGTATCTGCAAGAAAACAAGACCGAGAACACTTGTTATACTTTATTTACACAAAACAGATACTGAATATATCACATGCAAAATTGTTGTTGAGTTCTTTATTTTCCAGCAATTTCTTTTTCAAAACTCTTCTTAAGCTGCGTAAATGTTTACCTTTCGGCCACTTCCACCAGGTTTTTGTGACTGACAGCGAAGAGTCTTTCTCTGTGACTCTGCTTCATCTCATCAGTGACTCCACTGAGGAAGCGACCCATTCCTGCAACACAAAGACATGGTGAACAAATTAGTGTCCGAACCCAACCACTTCAGTTTAAAGACATAGCACCCAAATTAAGGCTGCAACTAATAAATTGTTCATTTTCTTTGCATTATTTTCTGGAACATATTGTTGACCAAACATAGTGATATCTTTAAATTGTCTGACCAACAGTCAAAAAAACAAGGATATTCAATGTACAATGATATAAAACAGAAGAAAGACAGGTGCAGAAAGCTTAGAACAAAGATGGAGACAAAACTGGAGTCAAAATTTTAAATGTCTAAAAATCTGAACTCTTATTATATACAGTTTATCTAATATCCAGATTAATAACATTTAATGTTGCCAGTAAGGTGCTCAAATGTAAATGCTTAAAATATTTGATGTGAATTAAGGTAAGTGGTCCAGCCAGTGGGAGTGTCACCTTTGTCTGCGGGGGCCACAGGTGAGTCGACAGCCGAGAAGACTGACAGCTTGGCCTCATCAATGTCCTGCTGGGTGAACTGTCCTGACTTTGCCCAGTCTATACCTTTGCGAAACGCTGACAAAGTCTGCATGGAGTTTGGGTCCCTTTGGTGACAGATGAGAAATAAAATGATCTAATGATCACTCTTTTAAACTTAAGACATTTTATTTATTCTTATTAGGTCTGCAACTAATGATTATTTTCATTATTGATTCATCTGTTATTATTTTCTCAATCACAATTTCCCAAAGCCAATTGTGTCTTCAAATGTCCTGTTTTGCCCAACAAAACGTCCAAAAGCCAAATATACTCAGCATTCAAACAGAGAAGACTAAGGAAACTAGGAATGTTCACATTTGAGAAGTTGGAAACTGGATCTTTGCCTCAAAATGATTTATTCATTATCAAAAGTGTTGCTGATTAACTTTCTTGCAGTGGAGCTGTAATTCTTATGTTTCTCCTAAAACTTGATTTACAATTTATTTTGCTAAATCCACATCTTAACAGCTAAGCAACCCGACTGAGATGGATTTAATAAAATGTAACCAGTGAGGGATTACAGCTGTCACATGGATTATCCAAGGAAATTCATTTGAAATAAAGTACTATAATTCCATACTGTAGGTACAGTGAGGTATATAACAGGAAGACCATTTTCAACTCAGGAGAGTTTTCCAACTTCTTCTAAAAGGATCCCTACACGTTTCATGTAGATATGAAATATTAAACTGATCAGCAAATGCTTTGGTACCGATTTCACTGCATTTCTTTGCAATAGGTGACACATTTGTGCACTCTGTATTACAAATCTATCAAAAAATTGCGACAAGTGTGGTGAACTGCTGCCCACCTGTAAGAGTAAAAGGAGAATAGACCTCCACCCATCCTGGCCCCGCCCCCATAGGCTCCTCCCTTCTCCCGGATCTCTCCATGAAGAAATTTTGCCGTCATCATCCTCGCCAAGATGCACAAACTGACCAAGAGAGAAAACAAAAGACGGTGGATATCAGACTGAGGACGTGGAAAGTAATTCAGAGACAAATCGGTACAAAATAAAACCATGATGAATTACAAAAAGCAAGAATTTTGTAAAATGTGATTTAATTCAAATCATTCAGTGTCATGTCAACATTAATCTTTGCTGTGTACTGGTGTGGTTACCTGGCGTAGTCCTCGTGGGAGAATGGTACTGTACGGATACTCTCGCTGACAAAGTTGACAGGGAAGGGCAGCTGGAAGAAAGTTTTCATCTGACAGGGCTGGAAATTCAGCTCCTGAAAAGTGAAAAAAAAAACAAAAAACAGTGCGTCATCGTAATTCAGAACTTGGTAATTCATCATTAATCAAACAAAATTACTGTACATGTTTACAGAAGTTTCTGACTAAAAAAAAAAAAAATCAAATATCAGATCTTAATATATACTAAGATTTCACATCCAGGATATTTCTCAGAAATCTGGTTGCTTCCACACAACATTTGTCTCTTCACCTAAGAAAGGTATTTTTCATTCCTTCATTTATCTTCCATCACCAGAAGCTCCCGTTTCGTTTTTGGTAATTATAGTAAACTCAATATTAAAGATGTTGATCAGTAGACTAATGAAAAAGGCCCTCAGCACTGAACTTACAGAGACGAGTTTCCTACTCGGCCCGGAGTCATCCAGGGGGTCTATTGGCCTCTTTAATGAAGGAGATGTCAAAGAAAGCAAAAAAAATATTATATTTTGATTTGATTAGCAAGTCAATTTGACAAATATTCTGGCTGGTTTAATGGTCCGGTTTGCCTTTTTAATATCTTACCTCAACAATATTAACTCTGACAGGTTTGCGTTCCTTTCTGTTTCCTGTGATTTGCTTCATAAAACTCTCCAACTGTGCTGCTGTGTCAGACATTTTCTGTGGCGTTGCGTTGATTGCACACCTAACAAGGAACAGACATTTTAATTTAAAGTAAGAAAAGTACACTAAGTAGATGATATACAGTCCATTTACACTGAAATCATTTTGTTAATTTGCAGAAATTACAGCAACAAAAACATTCTCCAAAACAAGAGAATACACAGACTGCAAGGGAAACCTGTCTGGCTCAAAATAAAACCAGAAAAGTATTCAGTGCTCATGCTACTGGACAATTCTATCAGCAGGTGCAGTATGAACCCACCTCATGTTGTCCGAGTTGAGAAGGTGTCTTTTGATCCTGGGTAGAGTTCGGATGACTTGGCTGAGGTCTGACATCTCGGCTATCCTCTTCATAAACTTCACCTAATGTTCAAATAACACAACACAGCTGTCGCACAAACTACTGGCTCAGTAAAAACCAAAGGCAAAGAAAGACGAGAGAGAGAATGGGAAAACCAAAAACCTCTCTTGCACAAGTGAAGAACGCAGAGCATGAAAAATGAAATGGTCTCCCATAGCATGAACAATTATGCCAAGTGTCTTAGAACTACAGCTGGACAATATAGTTTAAACCAATATCACAATATTAATTAGACATTTAACACTAATGTACATGTGTGCACAATCATCCATGAAATAATCCAATAATGTTTAGTTGATTTAACAAGGCTTCCCTTGTATGTGTCATAGCACACAAAAGTCTCATATGTAACAAAGAACTTTAACAATTAATCCTTTTTAATTACAATTTGTTTGAAATTATAATTTTGACAACACAAAATGCTCATATCATCAGCAATATTTTCAACTTTCAGCCATACTATGATGTTTCGGATGAAGAAATATTGTTTAAATACACAATTTCAACATCCATTCCAACAATTTCTGTTATTTCATATTGTCATAAATAAACACATAATAAAAACATTCATACCAGCACATTGTGATCAGTCAAGGTGACTATTTTAATAATAAAAGACCAGCTGATTCCAGAGCTGTGTGGGAAAACAGATCTAAGCTAAGTGGTAAATAGTGGTCGAGCTATGTCTGACCGTGGAGGAAAATCTCTCATTTTCTTCCAGCTCTTTAAGTCCTACCAGATGCACGGTTCACTACGAAACTGGTTGGATAATTACTAAAATACGGGCACAGGGCGATCACAAGCAGCAGATGTCAATCTGCACAATGCTTCTAGTGTAGACAGGAGGTTAAGTCAGAGCCTCTCATCATCACTACTCATGCATATAATGTTCTGTACCTGTTCCATCCCACCAAAAGACTCCTGGAGGTGTCCTGCTGGAGTCAGGTAACGGCCTGCACGGGTCATAGCATACATGTGACCAGAGTAGGAGATCCCATTGGCCAACTCCTGTGCTGACATCATCACCAGCACTCTCAAGCGCTCCACCTCTTCAAAGTGGGGGCTAGAAGGAAACATTTGCTTATTTTAATGCTACCATTTGCTTATTTGATGCCCCGCATCCTCACTGGAAGCCACACCAACAATGAAAGCGGACTG